CCCAGGCTGGAGTGCAATGGCATGATCTCAGCTCACTGCAACATCTGCTTCCCGGGTTCAAGAGATTTTCCTGTCTCAGCCTTCCGAGTAGCTGAGATTATAGGCATGCACCACCACGTCTGGCTAATTCTGTATTTTTAGTAAAGGCGGGGTTTCTTCTTGTTGGTTAGGCTGGTCTCAATCTCCCGACCTCAGGTGATCTGTCCCACTTGACCTCCCAAACAACTGGGATTACAGACGTGACCCACCGTGCTCAGCCTAATTTTTCATAATAACGTATTATTAAAAGAGCATGCTATTGTAACATTTCCATGTATACTCCTCAACTGCCCTTCACATCTGTTGTTGCCCAAAGTTTGTTGTATGACTCTTCAGTATAATAATTTTCAGGTCTGTAGTCACGCAAAATTAAATGTGCATACTTGAAAGATGTGCTGTATGGATAAAAAAAATATGATTTTGCCGACTTTGAGAATTATTTTATTTGGCTCATGAATTTATATTCATATATGTAAGCTTTAAGTGCTTCAAGATACTACATATGTGATACCAAAAAACAAATCATTAGTCAAGGCCATAATAATTGTTAGCAGTATTTAATGCATACAATGCATCATATTTTGGTCACTGATATGATCAGTTATGAGTAACCTATTACAATTTGTTAGCACAGAAGTGACCTTTTCCTTGTAAGCAAAGGGCACATTTTACAGCTTTCTGAACATGTCTTATCTACTTAAGAAGTTTGAGAAAATATAAGATGTGGTGACATTTAGTTTTATTCTAGTTCATTGCCATTAACTTCTCGATGCTGACTTTTAGTCATATATGGTCCTTTAAGACAAAAAATAAAAACTCTGTATGTCAGTGAAACTTGTTAAAGTATGAAGAACATAAGAAAAGGATTGAAGAGTTTAACAAATTCTTGTGATAGTTGATACTGAGTGTCAACTTGATTGGATTGAAGAAAACAAAATATTGACCCTGGGTGTGTCCGTGAGGGTGTTGCAAAAGAGATTAACATTTGAGTCAGTGGTTTGGGAAGGCAGATCCACCCTTAATTTGATGAGCAGAATTTAATCAGCTGCCAGCAAATATGAAACAGGCAGAAAAACATAAGAGACTGGCCTAAGCTCCCAGCCTACATCTTTCTCCCATGCTGGATTCTTCTGCCCTCAAACATCAGACTCCAAGTTATTCAGTTTGAGACTTAAACTGGCTCTCCTTGCTCCTCAGCTTGCAGGCCACCCATTGATGATCATGTTAGTTAATACTTAAAAAACTCCTATATACTTATTTATATATATACTTATATATACATACATATGTACTTACACATTTATATACACTTATATTTATATATATACCTATATATATACATACATATATACTTATACATTTATATATATACTTATATATGTTAGTTAATAATAAATTCCCATGTATGTACTTATATATATGTACTTATTTATATATATATTTATATATATACTTATATTTATATATATACATATATATGTACTTATACATTTATATATATACTTATATTTATATATATATACTTAAACTCCCATATATATAAGTATATATATAAATATATATATTTATATATTTATATATTAATTATATATTATATATATACTTAATATATATATTTATATATATTATACATATAATTATATATTATATGTATAATATAAATACATATAACATATATATATGTAAGTTCTGTCCCAGAGAACCCTAATACACTTTTATTAGTCATCTAGTACATCTCTTAAATAACCACAAGAAATATATACACAATCAAAAAAGGGATTCTTGAGGTTTCCATCAAATTCTGTTCTTTACAAAAAAACCTCATCACTGCAAAAACTTAAACTCTCTTTGAGCAGCAATAACTTATAAGTGCCATTTCCACATACTTAAATTGACATCAACAGTAGAAAGATTACAACATAGAATATGCTTCTGATTCTGAGCTTTTCTTCCAATGTTGAAATTTAATCCAGTATGCAATTCCATGCCAACTATGGCACAGCATTTAGTATACTCAGTGTCTGGCCTTGAATCCTGTGGATCAATCCAGCCATGAATTTAACAAAGTGTAGAACCTTTCTATGAGCATATGTTCAACCATGCATTTGCTATCCTCCTCTCCACATTGTGTAATGGATTTGGACATAAAATTTAAGCTATTTCACAGGCTGCTTGGTATGTATAGAAAATCAGAGTTCAGAATGAAGATTTTATTTCAGTTAATTCAATGTTTGAAGTGTGTGTTTCAGATATATGAGAGATAGGTAGTTATATTGTGTGTGCAATGAAAGAATCAAATCTTTCTTACTCCTCCCCTATGCTTAGCCTTCCTTGAATGTGTTCATTAAACTGATAAATGACTTCCAACAAAGAACATTAGAAATGCTTCAGACATTGGAGAATAAAAGGAGAATGAGAAAAACTGAAATAGAAGTTAGAATATAACAGAGAATGTTCTATTACAAACGTCAGTCTTAGTAATTGTTATTTTGACACTGTAATTTTCTTTTCACTATTGGCTACAATTATATTCCAAATATTAAATTTGTAAAAATCAGACCCTTGTACTAATTACAAATATGAATGGAAAATATCTGAGATATGTCTTAGTCAATTTAGAAAGTTCATTTTGCCAAGGTTAAGGACATGCCCAAGACACAACCTCAGGAATTCCTGAGACGTGCCCAAGGTGGTCAGGGGTACAGTTTTTTTTAATACATTTTAGAGAAACATGAAACATCAATCAATATGTGTAAGATTAAGTGGTCTGGTAAGGTGGGATAACTCCAGCCTTCCAGGTTAAAAGTAGATAAGAGTAAAAAGGTTGCATTCTTTTGTGTCCTTGACCAGTCTTCCACCGAATACACAATTCAGTCTGGCTCACTGAATCTGCATTTTTACATCAATAATAGAAAAGAGGGAGCAATCAAATATGTATTTGTCTCAGGTCAGCTCAGGAGAATAACTTTGAATAGTATGAGAGGCAGGTTTGCCCTAAGCAGTTTCCATCTTGACTTTTCCCTTTAGTTTAGTGATTTGGGGGTCCCAAGATTTATTTTCCTTTCATGTTTCTCCTATTTCTTTAAAAATCTTTTGGAATAAGCACTTTTGAGAGAAAAATGAGTCTCTGATCTCAGGTTTTGTCTCATCTATTATGGTTAGAATGTTTTATTCCTAGATGTGTAGGTCCCACAATATGAGGAAACCTCATTTTTAGCAGGTTGTGAAGTCTCATTTCCTACAAGGGGAAAATAGGAAGAAGAGAAAAACAACAACAAACAAAAAAAGAACAATCTTAGAAAACGAATATAGGCCATATTACTCTGAAGTTCATGTATCATTAGGCATGTATGAAAGTGGCTTATATATGTAAATAGGTTGCTGTTATTACCTTCTAAAGTTTAAGTTGTCTAGCTTCAGTGTGCAGGGCTTTAAGGAAACACAGCTGCATGACTTTGGAGAAGCGAAGCCAGGAAAAATTTTAGAATTCAGTTCAAACTGTAGAAAATAATAAAAATTGTAAAACCTTAGGCAAGACTAGAATATAATAACAGGTGTATTAGTTTATATTGAAATATAATTTTTGTCTCTTCAGTCTCTTCTTATTAAAAACAAATTATAATAGGACCAATTTATTTGTGAGCTTTATTCTTAATGCTTGACATTATTATCTGTATAAAGTGCATCAAGGATAATTATTTTTCACCTAGGCTTTTTAAATAGGCTTTTATGGAACTCTTTTCCATAAGAAATCTCAATAAGACTTATTTTTTTAAGCTGAGCCCAGCCATGAGTTTGTACCCTCAAATACCTATGAGTTGAGTAAATTTCTTTCCTCTTTAGGTCCAAAGATAACTTGGGGTTGCTGGGCCTGTTACAAAGGCCCTTTACTTACCAAAGGTCAGAAATCCTATACAGGGACTCTGCAGAAAAGGTAACAGGCTGGTTTTCCCAGTGGGCTTTTATTGGCTTTTTAAGGCAAGTTTAAAGGAAAACAACAACATTCCTGTAAAACCTTTGGTAAAACAAGCTGTTTCTCCCATGTGTCCTCTTGCAAAAGGAAACATTCTTACTGCACTTATGCAAATAAATATATTGCCATAAGTTAAAAATACTCACAAATAGTTTCCAAATTCTGGAAAATTAGGTAGAGAGAAATATGCTCCAAATTTTGTTCACGGGAATATACTTAACTCCATTGTTCAAATCTGTAAATAGCTTAAAAGACAAGTTTTCTTGACTGAAAAACATAGGATCAGCAACGTTTTAAGCAAAAAGTCAAGAAGATTACTTAGTCTTTAGTTCAGTCCATGAAGTTAACTCTTACTTGACATTCATGAACATTTCAGCTCTCTATGAGTTCTGAAAATGTTTTCCTTATTCTAATGTCACAATTTCCAAAGTTATTAGAAGCTTACGTTCAAGAACACCTAACAAGGTGCTATACATTGATTAGAAATCACCTTTTGAAGAGTATCAAAACAAGACAATAGTCTATGGATGACAAGTCTTAGGACAACCATTATTAGTCACAATTGACTAGAAATTCATTACTTCTGTGGCATATAAAAGTTTCACATAAAAATTATAATTATTAATAACATACACTAAATCTTATTAAAATTATAAGTTTCCCAATATTTTGGAACACAGACCAATAACATTTATACAAATATAGCCCAAGGGAAACCAAACGTTATTTTATATTTGTCAATGCTTCCTGTATGATTTTTATACCAAATAAACTGAATATGTCTCATTTGCACTTCAAGGAAATAATATCAGAAAATTAATGAAAATTAATGAGAAAGCAAGTTAGAATTTGACTTTGGAAAGTTTGTCAAATATAAAAAGTTTAAAATGCTTGATATCACAAAATAGGATCACAGGTCATTGTAAAATAAGTCATTAATTTAACCAAAGTGATAAAATATTCTTAAAAAAAAAAGGTGAAGGCGCTCCGCGTTCCGGGTCCGCTCCCCAGAGGCCTAGGCGCCGCCGCTGTGAGGGCGCGGGGCAGACAAAGGAGGCAGACAAAGGCGGGCGCAGCCCAGCGGCCGTGCAGGCACCGGGCGAGGCGGGCCCACTCCTCCCGGTAGCGGGAAGGATGACCACGCTTACACGGCAGGACCTCAACTTTGGCCAAGTGGTGGCCGATGTGCTCTGCGAGTTTCTGGAGGTGGCTGTGCATCTCATCCTCTACGTGCACGAGGTCTACCCGGTGGGCATTTTCCAGAAACGTAAGAAGTACAACGTGCCGGTCCAGATGTCCTGCCACCCGGAGCTGAATCAGTATATCCAGGATACGCTGCACTGCGTCAAGCCACTCCTGGAGAAGAATGATGTGGAGAAAGTGGTGGTGGTGATTTTGGATAAAGAGCACCGCCCAGTGGAGAAATTCGTCTTTGAGATCACCCAGCCTCCACTGCTATCCATCAGCTCAGACTCCCTTTTGTCTCACGTGGAGCAGCTGCTCCGAGCCTTCATCCTGAAGATCAGCGTGTGCGATGCTGTCCTGCACCACAATGCCCTAGGCTGTACCTTCACAGTCCTGGTGCACACGAGAGAAGCTGCCACTCGCAACATGGAGAAAATCCAGGTCATCAAGGATTTTCCCTGGATCCTGGCAGATGAGCAGGATGTCCACATGCATGACCCCCGGCTGATACCACTGAAAACCATGACGTCGGACATTTTAAAGATGCAGCTTTACGTGGAAGAGCGCGCCCATAAAGGCAGCTGAGGGGGCATCTGCCACCCCACTGATGCCCGAACTGTCAGACTTAGGGGCATCCCCACCTAGGGCAGTGCTGCACGGCTGCCCTGATTCCAAGTGCTCTTATCACCTGTGTGTACTCCTGAAACTGATAAGCAACTTCAGCCAAGTCTCAGGATATAAAATCAATGTGCAAAAATCACAAGCATTCGTCTACACCAATAACAGACTTAAAGAAAGCCAAATCAAGAACAAACTGCCATTCACAATTGCTACAAAAAGAATAAAATACCTTGGAATACAAATCACAAGGAACGTAAGGGACCTCTTCAAGGAGAACTACAAACCACTGCTCAACGAAATCAGAGAGGACACAAACAGATGGAGAAACATTCCATGTTCATGGTTAGGAAGAATTAATATCGTGAAAATGGCTATACTGCCCAAAGTAATTTACAGAATCAATGCTATCCCCATCAAGCTACCATTGACTTTCTTCACAGAACTGGAAAAAACCACCATGAACTTCATATGGAACCAAAAGAGAGCAAGCATAGCCAAGTCAATTCTAAGCAAAAAGAACACAGCAGGGGGCATCACACTACCGGATTTCAAACTATACTACAAGGCTACAGTAATCAAAACAGCATGGTACTGGTACCAAAACAGAGATATAGACCAATGGAACAAAACAGAGGCACCGGAGGCAACACAACATATCTACAACTATACAATCTTTGATAAACCTGACAAAAACAAGCAAGGGGGTTAAGGATTCCCTGTTTAACAAATGGTGTTGGGAAAACTGGCTAGTCATGTGCAGAAAGCAGAAACTGGACCCCTTCCTGACACCTTACACTAAAATTAACTCCAGATGGATTAAAGACTTAAACATAAGACCTGGCACCATAAAAACCCTAGAAGGAAATCTAGGCAAAACTATCCAGGACATAGGAGTAGGCAAGGACTTCATGAACAAAACACCAAAAGCATTGGCAACAAAAGCCAAATAGACAAATGGGACCTAATGAAACTCCACAGCTTCTGCACGGCAAAAGAAACAGTCACTAGAGTGGATCGGCAACCAACAGAATGGGAAAAAATTTTTGCAGTTTACCCATCTGACAAAGGGCTGATATCCAGAATTTACAAAGAACTCAAACGGATTTACAGGAAAAAAACAAACAAGCCCATTCAAAAGTGGGCAAAGGATATGAACAGACACTTTACAAAAGAAGACATATATGAGGCCAACAATCATATGAAAAAATGCTCATCATCACTGGTCATCAGAGAGATGCAAATCAAAACCACATTGAGATACCATCTCACGCCAGTTAGAATGGCGATCATTAAAAAATCTGGAGACAATAGATGCTGGAGAGGATGTGGAGAAAAAGGAACACTTTTACACTGTTGGTGGGAGTGTAAATTAGTTCAACCATTGTGGAAGACAGTGTGGCGATTCCTCAAGGCCTTAGAAATAGAAATTCCATTTGACCCAGCAATCCCATTACTGGGTATATATCCAAAAGACTATAAATCGTTCTACTATAAGGACACATGTACACGAATGTTCATTGCAGCACTGTTTACAATAGCAAAGACCTGGAATCAACCAAAATGCCCATTGATGATAGACTGGATTGGAAAAATGTGGCACATATACACCATGGAATATTATGCAGCAATCAGAAATGATGAGTTTGTGTCGTTTGTAGGGACATGGATGAATCTGGAGAACGTCATCCTCAGCAAACTGACACAAGAACAGAAAATGAAACACCGCATATTCTCACTCATAGGTGGGTGATGAAAAATGAGAACACATGGACACAGAAAGGGGAGTACTAAACACTGGGGTCTATTGGGGGGAAAAGGGGAGGGCCAGTGGGAGGGGGAGGTGGGGAGGGATAGCCTGGGGAGAAATGCCAAATGTGGGTGAAGGGGAGAAGGAAAGAAAAGCACACTGCCATGTGTGTTCCTACGCAACTGTCTTGCATGCTCTGCTCATGTACCCCAAAACCTAAAATCCAATAAAAAATTAAAAAAAAAAAAAAAGATGAAAACCTTTATTCTTTGAGAAAGCAGTCAATTTCACGATAACCTCTAATAAAAACAGTGCAAGGCCAATTAAATCTGTCTCTCAATATCTTATAAGCAATCTATAAAATTTTAATTATCTTGACCATAAGATAATTTTCATAAACCTTCTTGTAATCTTTATAATTTGTATTAAGGAGTCAGTTAACATGACAAGGAAACCTTGTTAATCTGACACCAGGGCCCAGATGTTGCTTTTGCATCAGTGTGCCAATGATATTAATGTTAATTTCTAGAGAAACTGAACTAATTTTATATCTTAAAATTATCCCTTAAAATCTCATGTGTTCACCTTTTCCTAGATATTCCTTAGGAAATGAGATGATTAGTTTTAATTCCTGGCCCTGTGTCTCACAAAGTTCATTTTGATTGGCATCTTCTACTGGGTCTGAAGATGAGAATTTAATTTAAGCTGTCAGTGTACTAGATTTAGCAGAACTTGTTGTACTTTTTACACTTAGGAGTAAAAGCCCTGTAACTGAATGGCATAAGGACTTTAAAAGCATGTACAGAAAGTTACATGGATATAACTACTGTAATTAAAAATACTTTTGAGGCAGTTTTTTTTCTAAGCAACCCAAAACTTAATAATGACATAGGGTTTTATTTTGCTAAAACGTAAGATCTGTTCAGCCAGTTGCAAATAGGCAAAATAAAAGACTTTCTGCAGTGCACAGAAAATTATGTTGGAAATAAAAATTTCCATTAGACCTTTAAGAAAGCATTTTTAGCTTCAGGCTACAACAGTTAGAACCCAAGGAGGAAAACAGCTTATATGAACTAAAAATGAGTTAAAGAAAGGTGTTATTATTTCGCACCTTTTAAAAGAGGAGAGAAAACCAAAAATGGTGAGACACAATAAAAGTTAAAGTTTAGGTTAAAAAAGTTAAAATCTGTTATAATTTATTAAGAGTAAATAAATGCATTAATAAAATTTCATTGTTCTAAATAATTCTTTAGTGCATACATGCTTTTTTAAATAGCAAAACACAGTTTCTAGAAAGACTGTTATAAACAATTTTCCTTTAATTATAGACAATGTGATACAAATTATTCATGACATGCTTAAACTTTCTGTTTTATCTCAGACATTCCTCTTCCTTAAATAATGAATTATTTTATTTGAGGACAAAAATTTCTATACAAGATTATTTTTCAGATAAAATTAGTTTCCTTTTAACCTTTCTTGCCAAAAAAAAATTCTTTATTTTTATAACTTAACTTGCGTTGTTCTTTTTTTTTGAGACGGAGTTTCGCTCTTGTTACCCAGACTGGAGTGCAATGGCACGATCTCGGCTCACTGCAACCTCAGCCTCCTGGGTTCAAGCAATTCTCCTGCCTCAGCCTCCCGAGTAGCTGGGACTACAGGCACGCGCCACCATGCCCAGCTAATTTTTTTTGTATTTTTAGTAGAGACCGGGTTTCACCATGTTGACCAGGAGGGTCTCGATCTCTTGACCTCGTGATCTGCCTTCCTTGGCCTCCCAAAGTGCTAGGATTACAGGCATGAGCCACCATGCCTGGCCTACTTACATTGTTCTTATTCACTTATACTTAATTTCATGAATAACTTTTAAATTACCTTTGAATCAGAAAAAAAAAATTATTTTCCTTTAAATAAAAACACTTTTGTAAGAAAAATATTGTTCTATAAGTTAACAAAAATCTAGAAAGGACCCAGAAATTTAATAAATAGTTACTATTTAGCTTAATATAACTTCAGATTTTAAATTACATGACAAGATTATTTACAAGCACCTATTCCATTATATTTACCTAATTATTGTTTAAGTATACTCACTTTGTTTATGAAAACTGTGATATTTATAATTTAAAGTCATTTCCCTTGTAACCACTTTTATAAGGTGAATTTAAGATTTTTTTAAGTAAGAACCTTAAGGTTAGATAAGTATGTTATTTTTGTTTTTTGTTTTTTTCAGGATTTAGCTGTTTTTGTTAACTGAACAATACGTAAATCAAAAACCAAATTCTAATCCCCCCTCCACACCAACGTTCTGAATGGAATTACTACTCAGCCAGGGCTCTTAAAATTTAAGACTAGTTCAAGCTGTGATAGGTAGTAGGAGTTGGACTTGCTTCATTATTCTTCTCTGGCATTAACATCAACACAGACTTTAAGTCTAATAAGAAACATTTTATGACTTATTCTCTCTGAAGCCTGCTACCTGGAGGCTTCATCTGCAAATATAATAAGAACTTGGGTCTTCAGAGTCCTTTATCATAACCCATACATTCCTTTCTATTGATCCCTGGTCTTTAGATAAATGCAACCAACTGTCAACCAGAAAATGTTTAAATTTACATATAGCCTGAAAACTCCTGCTTTGAGTTGTCCCACCTTTCTGGACCAAACTGATGTATTTTTTAAATGTATTTGATTGATGTCTCATGTCTTCCTAGAAGGTATAAAACCAAGCTGCACCATGACCACCTTAGGCAAATGTTCCTAGGGCCTCCTGAGGGCTATGTCACAAGTCATGGTCACTTATATTTGGATCAGAATAAATCTTTTTGAATAATTTATAGTTTGACTCTTTCTGTCAGCAAATATTAAATGTCTTATTTATTAAATTTTACATTAAAACAATAATTCTCTTTTTGGCTTCATTCATAGCTTTATAACCCTCATGCCAAATTTTAACATCTAGCAGAGATAAATAATACAGGTTGGCAATTCTGAAGTCATTTCTAATTCTATTTCACCAAAAATTTTAAAACCAGCTTATTTATTAAAAATTTACTTAAGTCACATGAACATGAAAAAGCATTTGGCTATTATTCTGATAAAGTGTTTTATTTAAGCACTTTTTTTTTAGACAGAGTCTTGCTCTTTGGCCCAAGCTGAAGTACAGTGGTGTGATATTGGTTTACTGCAACCTTTGCATCTCAGGTTCAAGCAATTCTTGTGCCTCAGCCTCCTAAGTAGCTGAGATAACAGGTAAATGCCACCATGCCTGGCTAATTTTCTTATTTTTAGTAGAGATGGGGTTTCACCTTTTTGTCCAGGC